GGAAGTGCTTGGAAGGGTTCTGCTAGGCTTGGCCAACTGCTTCACCCTGCGGTGTTCCAGGCGCCTCCCCGCCTAGGCTTTGGCTATAGGCCGGGGTCGGCGGATATAATATAGTATACTATAAAAAACACAATATATATAATACCATATAAGGTACACCTCTGATCATGTTTACCCTAAATATTGTTCATTCCAGATTCTCAGAAAGGGGTTTAATAAGGAAATGAAAGGATTATTTATTTATATATATATATATCTAATCAAAGTAGATTTGAATTAGAATAAGTTAAACTTACTGTAAATTAGAATCAACATGGAATGGAATTAGAATTAAATTAGGGAAATTCATCAACTTTATTTTGTGTACACTTTATTCAGGGTATGGTGGCTTCATAGGGACTACCCTTGCCAGAGCGGTTTTGATCAATTGTTGATGGTTTTTCAATAAGGGTTTTATAACGAATTGTTATCAGAAGGTGTTGGACATTGATAAAGGGAAATGAACGGGAATAAAGCTAATGGATAATTTAGATGCAGGAGCACCTGTAGCTTTACTTGGCGTACCCGTTATTTAGTGATATTACAGGTGTTTAAAGTTATTGTTGTTGTTTATATGTTTACATACCTAGAGAATCTTGCGGTGTTTTTTTCCGCCGTCATGATAAAACACTGTTTTTCTGCGGCATTTCAAGAAGACCGCCGCTTTGCCAAAAACACGCTGCATTCCCAGAAACACGCCGCAATGGGGTTTCAGCAACAATCACACAAGTTCACATTGGTTGTTAAGCTCTGAATGAAAATAGGATGTAAAGTATGCAAAGCTGTCAACCATGTCAAATCAGAAAACATGGACACAAGAAAGCCGCCTTCCCACCTCTCCAAAACGATCAATCAAAGGGCACCCAAAACTGTCTTTTAGGATCTTCTGGTTGGTGTTGGAAGGGCCAGGATTTCTGAGAAGCGAGGACCTAGAACTCTTCCGATTCAGGGTCCAATGATAGAGTTCCGCGCTATGCTTTTTCTGTGGCTATGCTCTATCTACAGTTGGGAGCGCCAAAAAAAGCGCTGCAGCAACTGCTTCGCACACCCCTCTTTTGCACCAGAACCTCCCAAAGATTGATGACAAGGCGCCTATCCCTGCAGCTGTAGGTCATGGTGACCCAGACAGGAGCTAAGTTCGACAATGGGCAACCAAGCTTTAATTTGGCACCGTCCCGCCATTTATTTTATAGTAACAAAATAACATATCTCAGCTCACTCCCCAGCTGCGAGGTTCCAAGCTTGCCCCAACAACCTACAAGCTAAGCCGGATCAAAATCATAGGTTCATCACGGCGAGGTGCTAATCAAACCTAAGGTTTGACAGTCAGTCACGGCACGTGCTTCTATTTCGTTAATGATAGCTGTGCTCTATGTAGGGTTACGTGTTTCCACCTAGGTCGCATTTGTTGAGGGCAAGAAACGTGTCTCCGCGATCTCTTCTTTCAGGAAAAGCTTTGCCCATCCCTCTCCGGACGCACCCATATTCTCCAATTTGATTGGGACCTCCTCTTTTTTCGTGCAAGAAAAAGACGAAGGAGTTTTCTGATGGACAACTTAGGTAGGTCTGGGTGGGGTCAGGGCTTGAGTACGCCATTTTGGCTCAAGCCCTGACCCTTTGTTTGAGGGTCATGTGGTGGGTCGCGCTCCTCGCGGGCGGCTTGCTGGGGGGCGATGTTCCCCTCGGCCATGGCGGCCGCGGCGATGTCGTCGGTGTCGGCCATCTTGGATCACTTCCAGGTGGCCGACGCATTGCGGGCGGCATTTGTTCGCGAGGCTGGCGATCCGAACGACGACCTTCGTCTTTTGGCGGCCCTTCCGGGCAATGTGGTCGCGGCCTCGCTGGCCCAAGCGACGTTCGACGACGGCACCCCTTTGACAGCGGTTCAGGCCGCCCAGGTGGGACTCGTGTGGAAGCTGGCGAGGAGGATGATGTTCGTGAAGGGGGGTGGCACCTGGGAGGATTGGTCAGAGGAAGATCCATGGAGCGATTCCCCTCCTTCACCACCGAGGAGTTCGTCGGCAAGGGCATCAGCGGCACCCGGGGAGTTCGTGAAGGAAACGAAGGAAAGGACT